AATACAATTTAACGTTTTTAGAAGGTCTCTTTCTATAAGTCTATAATACATAACTAAACTATTGTTGTATGTAAAGTAAATAAGGTTTTTAAAATGTTTAAGAAGCTCATTTAAAATTCAATTAAAACGCAGAGCCCCCTGGATGGGTGGCCAGGACCCAGGCAGTGTGAGTGCCACTGAAAATCAGCTCGCGTGCTGCCTTCAGCACGCGTGCCATAGGTTGCCTACCCCTGGTCTATATAGTACTTAGTCCTGCCTTGAGTGCTGGGGACTCTCAAGGTCCCTTCCAGTTCTATGATTCTATGTTCAAAGCACTGGACAGTTGTTGACACTGATTATTAAGAGTAGGGGAGGATTGTGAGCTGGTAAACTATTAGTATTGGCAATAATACACAAGGAAAGCTACACTTGATTTAATTACAATTCCACACAAAAATACTGCATTAAAAGAACCTTACGCATATTAGGCAATCCATTTCCTGATTTTTGATTGCTTCACTTTGCAGCCTTAACTCTGCCTTCTTGTGCATATGCATTACAATGCAGTCTTGAATTACATGATCACATACCGTTTTCCTGCCATTTATCTGGATTGTGTTCAGTGCCTATACGGGTTTATTTGTCCTTTTGGAATGCAAGGCACTGAATTTATAGACAGATTGCTTTTATTTGTTGAGAAACAAGTAATTTTATGAGGAAAATGCCATCTGGCCTTTCCTGAGCACTGACTGCTGCGTGTGAGTTCTTCTGGAGAAGTAATTTTGTCCTTTAGTTGCATAATAAAAACTGTGTGAGGCTCAAAAGAAAGAGCAGAGCTAGTTACTATATTTCTGTGGGAGAAAGCACCAAAGCGTCTGGGACCTGAACTGGAAACATCTCAGCACTGTATATACGGAGTTAGCAAGAAATGTACAGAACAATACAGTGTGTGTAGTATGGCGTGCCTCCAGCAAGGCTTAGGGGGGCATATTGTGCCCAGTCCATGCAAAGCATATGAGGGTGGGTAGGTTGGGAAAGGTACAAGGAAACTGTCATACCCTCAGCTAATTTAGGTGCAAATAAAGGTGGGCATAAATATTGAATATTAAACATCTAACTACATGACTGTGTTTACAAAGCTGGGAGTTATTAGCATTGCACAGATAATTCTGCCCCCTCCAAATTGGAGACCAAGACGAGGTTCCTGGTGACAAGTAGAAAGCTCTCGCCTAGGAAGAGCCGCCAGAAGGAACTAAAACGTCACTTCTGAGTGAGAGTCATAAAGTGCAGTTACACTTGTGTATGTGACCCCCTCTGTTTGCTGATGGACGGGACACTAACAGTAGTTACTGGACTCAGTGGTCCCTGCTTTGACCCCTGCTGTGAGACAGAGGGTGTGTGATCTTAGTAACCCATATGACAGGGACCAGGAAATGGAGATCAGTCTCAGATAGCTTTCCTGTTTCTCACACCATTATTAGAGATACAAATAAAAGAGCAGCATGTGATGGGATGTGGTCGGAGAGGGACACTCGGGCTGTCGTACCCAAAGGCTTTGCTCCATGACTGACACAAAGCCATGCATGAAGCTCTATGTGTGCCAAGCTCTGTGATTGTAACCCAATGGTGGGTGGGTGAGTGGGTGTCGGTGTGATACTATTTCCTTATGTGGCCTTAGCCAGGCCACTCGAAAGTGAAGGACTTTGAAGCGGTGAGACATGGATACTGGGTGTGTCTCTGCACAGTCCCTCTCTGCTGGCTCCCATCCAAACCAGATGTCTGGGCAGCACAGGAATGGTGAGGGAATCATTGTCTGCTCAGGGGCGTAGTTGAGACAGGAGCTGGCAGACTGGCCCATCAGCTCCCTGTGTGGGCTGTGGAGAGGGTATGTCCCTGTCACAGGGTGACTGGCCCCTTTAAGTGGGAGCAGGGTCTAGTGCACCTGTGGCTGATTAAAGCCCATTTGGGAGGCAGCTAGAGAAGGCAGCTGGGCCATATAAAGGAGAGACCGAGTGCTATAAGAAGGAGTGGGTGAGAGTTGTCTGAGAGAAGGAGCAGCAGAGAGTTGCTGGAGGGAGAAAAGCTGAAGGCACTCAGTAACCAAACTGCAAGGGATGTTTTCTGTGGAGAGCTGTTGGGAGGACTGGCCGGAGCTGGGGACCCTGCCAAGTTGTGGGAACTGAGGAAGGCTTGTGCAGAGGCCCCCAGGAATCCGGGAAAGGACCAGCTTGGTCAGTGTAAGCTGGGCCCAGAAGCAAGAGGAGTTGAGGAGGCAGGAGGATCCTAGGAGCAGAGCTAGGATTCACACCACCTTTCAGCAATGCAGGGCTGTGGTCCTGAATGGACACTTAGTGTGAAGGGTAGGACTCCTATCACTGAAAGGAGACCTGACTGGGGCTACTGGAGAACACTTGTGGGAGAGAAGTGGGTCTTGGCACTGTCAGGGTGGGGCCTGGAGAGGGGCCCTGGAGCCGGCTCAGAAAGAACTGGGACAGAGTGGCTAATGGCGCTCAGGTGGGTGACCTGGGAATGGTGACCTTGGCATGGGAGAGAGGAGCTGCTGTGTTGTGACCTTGTTTTGCTGTGGGAGGAAGTGCATTTACCAGGAGGCATCCACAGACTGTGGCATATCGTGTGAATAAAAGAGTTTGCGTTTGCTACCGAGACAGACAATGCTCCTTTTCATGGGTGAGTGGGGGGCAGTGAGGCAGGCGCCCTGTTGTGGCGCAGCCTGTTCCGGGATGGTGCTTGAGGCAGAGGCTGCATGCCCCAGGATTTTACCCTGAGGATTTCTCCCTAGAGCGCCCAGAGCTCTCCCCAGTGATGTGGGCTCCTGTCCCAGAAGGGAATTGGGGAATTTGCCTGGGGCTGTTGTGCCAAACAAGTGGCCCTGGGCAGCAGAGGGGAGAATGGCTCTGCCAGTAGCTCCCCCTCAGGAGGCTGCTCTGGGCTGCCCGGAGCAGGGCTGGGGTGGATTTACCCCAGCCAGTCCCAAGTTCCTTTCTGAACCCCCAGCACACAGTCCCTCCCACAGTGACAGTGTGAATGGATAAGATAGAATAAAATCAGTGAGCTGTATTAGCTTGAGAGTAAGGGTAGCTAGTGTTCCCATTTATTATTTGTACTGGAGAAGCACCTAAAAGCTGCAGTCAGGATTAGGGCTCCATTGTGCTAGGCAGTCTTCAAGCGCACGGACTTTGCCCCAAAGAGCGTACAGTCTAAGACACACAATCGATGTGGGAACGGGAGACAGTTTTATTTAGCAGAACTACTCTTTATCTTGTTTCTAACTATACCAGTGAAACAATAGCTATACAGTGAATAGACAACACCATCACTTTGTGGAATGAAATAAATCAAACCAGAGTAAGTGGAAAGTTTGTTAGTCAATACAAAGAGGAGAATAAATGTCTCCACAAAAGAGTCAATTATATAATAATTTTGTTAACCCTAATACCCAAAGGAGCTCATTTTGTTAATACTTTGTAGTGTTTCGCTCTTGTCAGCACATATGAGGTATCAGTCTAGGATATTTTTCTCTTCCTAAGTGGTTCCCCGATCAGGGCTTAGGAAGTAGGAGAACTGTGTTTCAGAATCAACTGTAATTCAGGAAATGAAAATCCAATACCTTTGCCATTGCCAATAAAAAACAATAGACTCTTCTAAAACCCTGAAAATTGATAAGGTTGTAAGTAACATTAGAGGCAAGATACAATTTCCTTAAGGAAAGCTAATAGAGATCCTTTCACATACCGGTCAGCTGAAGATTTGTAACTTGTATTAACACTCTTGAACCATCGGAGAGATTACAGAAGGTTCAGGTCATAATTATGTGTCTAAATATATCATTATTTTGCTCACTGAGGAACTTCGCAGACTCAAATAATGAAGTTGTTTCATCACTTTGTCAGTCCCTACAGCTGCAATCTCATTAGAGTTGAGCTAGAATAGCAGTGAAACCTTTTGATCAGAAGAAGAGCTCTCAAACTGATTTTTAGAGTGCAAATTTTCCTACTCTCATCCCAAGAAGCATATTTCCTGAGAGCATAGTTTTAAGTAATTATTTTGATATTAGACATTTTCTTTAAAATCTAAAAATGGAAAACCACATTAAAAGAATATGTGAGCTAAGTGTGCCAATTAAGTACTAATAAGTGAGTATTCTGGTATTCCAACAGCATCACAATGTTTACCTTTTTAATATAACTTATTTTTTCTTTCATCAGCTGTACTAAATTCAGCAGAGAGGCCACAGCAAACACATGCTGCTCCTGTACTGCATTATGACTAATGATCCATTTTTCTTTTGAAACCTTTTGAATTAGGATCACTTTTTCAAAAGTAGACTGCTAGAGCCTTCTGGTGACTTTGAAGAGGACTAAGGGGCTAAACCGGAAGGTTGACATGTCAATGGCACCTATTAATAGTGTATTAAGATATTTGAGAGAGGGAATTGACTACTGAATACTGTCTTTATTTGTGGCATTTTAAAACTCTTCGGGTTTTTTTTCTATTATTTTCTAAAACCAAACAAACTGAGAACAAGAATGTTCAGATGATTATAAACCTAACAATTTTCCTACCCTGAGAAATGTTTGGTTTTATACATGGAATGTCCATACATAAGGTTATGCTCTTTGATTACTATTTTTGATTATTCTTCACCAGTATGTTTATATATAAGTAGCAGTTTTACTAAGAACATTTTAACAGGTAAAGTTTTATAATAAACCATGTAACTACAACTAAAAGAAGCTTTACTTTCTGAGCTGGTGTAATGCAAATAATTGAGGAATAGTTTCATGCTGCCTAAGCGCACTAACATTTCTGTTTTAAGGGAGATGGTAGATTTCCAAGCCATACCATTCAAATATGTAGAGCAGCAGTATTTGCAATGGAAGTGCTAACCGCTGCTAATTCTTCTTTGTGTCAAATGTGGGGACTGTCTATTTAAGGTTCTGGTATGGTACGAATAGCGGTTGGGCTGGGAAAACTCCATGTCTGATTGTTTTCTTTTACAGAAACCACTCTGAGTTCACTAAAGCAGCCACATGCGGATAGTTCTCCTGTGGTGACTTCACCTCACCAAAGAAGAGACTCAGACAGGTACTGCCAGCTCTGTGCAGCCTGGTTCAATAACCCCATGATGGCACAACAACATTATGATGGCAAAAAGCACAAAAAGAACGCAGCCAGGGCCGACTTATTAGAACAACTAGGGAAGACATTGGATCTAGGAGAGTTGAGAGGTAAGAGCCTGTCTTGAACATAAAGCATCTATGCGTTGAGAAGGAAGATTCATCCTCTGTAGGTTGTAATGTGTTTCCAGCCTAGTCTCTCTCTGTTCACCTTAGTCATTTCAATTAGCAGTTAGCAGATTCCAGTCTTGTCTGGTTATAGAAGAAAAGGATGCAGTGTTTGGCTCATGCTGCTCATATGCAGCTCTTCATAACGTTCCTTTTTCTAGGATAGTTTATTAATGTAGTGTCTGAGCCTTAGGCCATAGCACACAATACAGTAAATACGTGTTTTAAAATCAGCACAGCTCAGTAAGATGAATACTAATTTTTAAAAATATAAAATTTTAAAACATTAGCTCTGGCCTTCCACCAGGCTCAGTTACATCTTTAAAACCACAACCCCTGAGACAATATTCAAAAACACAGTAACAAGTATATACATTATTTCATTTAGGTTATAAGGAGCCTCCTTTTTTCTTGTTTTTGTGGTAGATAAGGCAAATAGGGCGACAACCTGCACACCTTTCTGTGGGATAACACTCTGCAGTCATAGCAGCATCATTCCAAAGTTGGTCCTTTAGCATATCTTGTGTCTCTCTTTCAAAGAAGGAGGATCTTGGAGATTAGCGCATGTTGCGATTCCCTGGCAAACACAGGATCACTCTTCTAGGTGCCACGTTACAGAGAGAACGATAGTCTAGTACTTAGACTGGGAGTTGGACTCCAGGGGTCTATTCCCATTTCTGCCACTGACTTGCTGTGTAGCCTTGGGCAAAGGATGTCCTGTGCCTCCATTGAGGCATTTGTAAAATGAGCAGAACACCTATCTCATTCGATGTGTTGTGAGGTGTAATTAGTGGTTGTGAAATGATGTGACGTTCCTGGGTGGAAGGCACTAAAAAAGTATAAAGTATTTACTGTGACTGTTCTATGGAGGTTTCTTGCCTTCTCACAGAAGGTATGCTAGGCAACTGTCTCCGATCAGCTAAAGGACCTTCCTTGACCCTGCTCCACTTGCTTAAACAGCAAGTACAGCATCAGACCATGTCAGGGCACCAAAGGAGACAAGTCATAACCTGTCTGTTTTATGTCTAATGTTTGCTTAGAAAGGGAAAACTATGGAGCTCCTTTTAAGGCACAAGTTTCATTTTGATGTAATATGGCCCAGTATGTGCATACAGGAATAATTAATTGAAATAGACAAAGGAAGAGGTACTAGTTCAGATTTTCAAAGCAGTGCAAGGATTTGGTTTCGCAGCAGGACATTCCATATCATTTTCAGTTTTGTTCCTTTGAAGGAAATGGCTGTCTCCCTTCAATAACTAATAGACATACTGTAGATTATGAATTTCTAGGCTTCAAATAAAACCTCTAATGCTTTCTCAGATTCTTCGTGTGCTACACAGGGAAAGCCAGTGTGGCACACAATACCATAAATATGATTCATAGGCTGACTCACTGCCCCCTGCTGAACATATGCAGTGAAGAATAAACTGGGACGGTAATATGGAAGTGCTTGCTACCTTGAACTGTGCTGACCTCACGTGTGGCTGGGAACATTAGTAGCAGTAAATCAATCAATTGTGGAATGTTTTATTCATTTAGTTATTGTCTAGGAGAGTTAGAAATGGAGGAGTTTAAGGTACCTACTGGTCCGTACTGCGTTTTTGAAAATGTGCTGCTGTTCTGACCTCCATGACATAGTTTGGATTTGCAGATAATCCAGTATCAGTAAACACAAGGCAATTTATAGGAGAGAAGGAAACATAAACATGTGTGTGCACAGATGCACACAGACATCTGTGAGAGAACAAGAGAGGGCACCTTGCTGCTAGTTTTGGACATTTTGGGGGGTACTTTTTCCTATTTTCAGTGATCAAACTTTTCATTTTGGAGGAGAAAACACCTGAATGTACAGCTAATGGATCCAGTTCTGCAACTTCAGTGGCCCCAGAAGGATTCCCCTGCATAGGAGAAGGCTCCAGAAGTACAGGGCCATTTTAGTAGCTCCTCCACCCGCCCTTTGCTGGCTCCTGGTGCAGGAGAAAAGGGGATATTGTTGGCCCATTCTTCAATCCAGGTGACTCCTCCCACTTCCAGCTGGTGTAAATTAGAGGGGGCTAAAGGCTGCTCCACCTGGATATTGGGATTGGGCTGGTGTCCATTCTCTCTGAGAGTGAGGAGCAGTGCTTTGCTCATTTCTCTGGACTTGCACTGAGCATAGCATATCTGGCCAGGAGAATCTCGTCCAATATTGACGTAAACTTCCACATACCATCAAAGTCAATCTGCCCAGTTCATTTAAAAGCTCACCTCTGGCCATCTTCTAGCAATCTACTAATAGAAATGTTATCAGAGATTTCATCTGCAAAATATGTGTGCAGTCAGGACCAAGCTCTTAAGCAAAGCCTATGCACTCATAGGATAAGATCCTGCTCCAAGCCTCCTCCAGTCACATGATCACTTTACTGTTTAATTCCCTTTTTTTGGTTGGGTTAAATTGTGCTGTTATTGCT